GCGTCAGGAGTTTGTCACCAGATGGTGTTTTTTGGACCACTTTGAGGGCCTAGATGAGGGTGATGGCACAGGCTAGAAGGCGGCAGACAAAGTTTTTCTAGTCACCCTGGGTATGATCTTTAATAATAGACTTGTCTGCCGAGCGTCAGGAGTTTGTCACCAGATGGTGTTTTTTGGACCACTTTGAGGGCCTAGATGAGGGTGATGGCACAGGCTAGAGGGCGGCAGACAAACATTTTCCGTTTCAGTGCATGCAAGGCTATCGATGTAGGGGGTCAAAACATGTATCCCGAGTTTGTCACTCAAAGTCGTCTGGCTCTCTGACTAAAACATTTCTTTTTAATGCACCTTAAGGCTGTCCCCTGCAATTTGTATTTGAATGTATTTATGCTAAAAGGAACTATACACCAGTTTCAAACTTTTCAGTGGAGCATGCTCAACTAAAACCATTGGAGATTCCTTACTGACAGACGCATTGTGGTTTACTGTAGCTTGTTTGAAAGCTGAGGAGTTCCTCTAATTACACGCGTCACCAAAATTCCGGAAAAATGACTACTAAGCAAGATACAGTGATTTTACACCCAGGTCCTTTTGATTTAATGTGCTATCCGGGATACTGACTTAAATCAATAGGAACTATACCCTTTTGATCGACGCGCGCGTGGCGGAGCTCTGAGGAAACTTGGTGAGCCTTAGAACGGGGTTTATTTTTGGACGGGCAACATGAATTTCCCGACAGAGTGCGGGAAAGAATTGCATGTGCGCTGCCGCACGGTGGATCGAACCCTGCAAAAAGTCGGACATGGGCGTTTCTCACAAATAGTCATTTCATTGACGTAGATGTCTTCCCAAAGAGTTATATTTTATGATACGGGTATTGGTTTTTAATTTTCAATCCCAATTTAGGGCACACAGCCTCCCAAAGTGGCTCAGGCGGCACTTGAGAAATATTGCCTCACTCGGGACAAATCGTTTGCCGGTTGGCATTTCCTCCCAATAGATTTATGACAATGTCTGATAATGGAAGCTTATTCTCCTCTTTCAGTAGAATATATTTCACTAATAACATTTTAAAATATCGTCATTTTGATGCGCGGTATTCCTGCTTAAAAGTATTTCCCTCAAAACCATAAAAAAAATAATTTAAGTAAACTTTTAACTACCCCCTACGCGTATTTACGGGAAACCTTTATAGAGCAGTGTTAACTGATCCCTGGAGAGCCAGTATCAAGAAAAATTAGCTGCTCCAAAGTGCCATTTCGGGAATAAAGCTCAAATGACTTTGAAAAAGTGAAATTCATAAAATGGTGGGTCGAGGGAATTTGAATTCCATAAATCTGCAGTGAATAAACACCGGACGTTTGATAGGTGATCTGTTGGTAATTTTTAGTGCTGAGCCCGAAAATGACCTTGGTCTTTCTCCAAAACCCACGGATTTTCCACTTAAAATGGACTTTTCGGGAAATGTGATTTTCCGCAAAACTGGTGTATGGTAAAGAGAAATCAAGGTCATTTTCGAATCCAGGAGACAAAAATACATGGGAAAACATTCCGCGCATGGTTAAAAAAATGTCCCTGTTGTTTCAGATAACGGGGGTTTTCCTC